CTGAAAAACCTCTTTCTGTGCACTGTTTTGCCAAGTAAGATGGGAGTGCGCACTGATGCCACCATGCCCTGCATTTGCCAACTGCAGAACAGCAGCATGGTAAAATCAGAGGAATGAGTTTTATTTCTGCATTTCCCCACAGAGTCCACTAACCTGTCCCAAATAGCAAGTCTGCATTTCCCCACAGAGTCCACTAACCTGTCCCAAATAGCAAGTGGCTGAAGTCTCCTTGCTTTTCCGGCAAGATTTAATACATCTCAACAAGATTTCTGCACCCTGCTGAACTGCTTCTTCTGGAAGGCTGCATTTATTCACCACTGATTAAGAAGTTTCCTGTTTTCTTTCTCAAGATTCCCAGGGAAAATAAATAAATAACCAAACCTACCCACAATAAAATGCTATCATAATCTACATGCTGCATTTCTCACCATAACAGCTGTGGGCAGGAGAAGCAACCATGCTACTTGCCTGGCTAAAGATTGAACCAATTACTTCAGGATAAGGCTTTGCAGCATTAGATTCCTTTTCTGCTTATTTGGAGATACTTTTCTGATGCTATAAATCAGAACGGGATATGAGTTTAAAGTAACCTGAGGTTTTATTAGATGTTAGGGAAGAAAGTGTGATAAAACTAAGAAGGTCATGTAGAAATAAAAGTGCTGGAAGATTAGTTTAGGCAAAAAATTCAACTCTAATTTTGGTAAGATGTGGGACCTATGAAACATGCTTTCCAGAAAATCTCCTGAGACCACCTCCTTATGTTCAAGAGGTAACGCTTCCCATAGAGGATTACTCTGCTCCTTGCTTTTTGTTTTCATGCAACTCATCAGAGGTTTCTCTGACCCTATCAATTTATTCAAGACTGTCAAATAATTGTGATAAAAATCCACTCTGCATAACTCATGGGCAAGTAGTGACATGAGGAACAGGAGATGTAGCTGCCAAGAAGCTCCAAAGGGCACATCAAAGGCAAATAAGAGAATTTCATTCAAACTGAATAATAGATCAGATCAAAGGATGGGAAGAATATTATCCAATGTTTGAATATCCAAAATTTGAAGGGAGCATAAAAACAGGAGGGGGAATGACGATTTACAAGGGTGGATAGCAATAGGATGAGGGGAATGGTTTTAAACTGAGACAGAGGAGGTTTAGGTCAGATACTGGGAGGAAGTTTTTCACACAGAAAGTGGTGACATGCTGGAACAGGCTGCCTGAGGAGGCTGTGGATGCCCCATCCCTGAAGGCATTCAAGGCCAGGCTGGATGTGGCTCTGGGCAGCCTGGTGTGGTGGTTGGTGACCCTGCACATAGCAGGGGGGTGAAACTGGATGATCAATCTTTTCAACCCAGGCCATCCCATGATTCTATGATTCCAAGATATTATTGTTTTTTTCCCTTCTTTGTCTTCTGATGTTATTGTGGATCATCTTTCAACATCCAGTCCAGAAAGAGATGCTTTCTGAAGCTAAGGGCAAGAATACAGGGCTCAGACAAAGGGAACCCAAAAGACTACCTAATTAGTTTTGAAGAGCTGATGGCCACAAAGGCTACCAAAGTCATGATACTTTGTGATATTTTAAATAAAATTAATTATAACTGCTATAACAAAAATTTCTAGGAACATTTTCCTCATCAATTCATTGGGATAACTACTTCTTCCCAACACTTCTAGTGCACTAGAATACTAGGAGATAGAGGAAGGTCTCACCTTCACAGGTGAAAACCACACCAAGGAGAGGCAGCTTCCCATTATATCTGGACCTCTTCATCCTGCACTGCCACTTTTTTCTCCATTAGTAATTCTTTCCCTTTTGTCATTTCATCCTTGAAAATCTGCTGGCAGTTCACTCTTCCTGGAATCTATATCCTGACCAGCAGGAAAATGGACAAGATGTACTAATGAGTCTTTTCCATCATGCAATCTGTGATTTTTGTCTTTATATAGCACTTCATTCCCTGTTTCCCCTTCCATCTCCTTCTACAAATTGAGACTGGCTGAAGGGAGGTTTAAAAGAGAATGAACTGTCACTTAAACTCTCTGTGTCACTCAGTCATTCTTATAAATGGGGATCTCAGATGAGTTCAGCTCTGTCAGAAAAGCTGTGTCTCAGAATTTCTCAATACTCAAGATGTGCAGAATAAATTACAAAGAACAGGTTTATCTACTTTATCCATTACTTTCAAAAGTAATATTGCTGCTCAAAAATGCTTACAGCATGCATAAGTGTACATGTATGCACATACACACATACAGACTTCAGAAGTGCTTCCAAAAAGACAGAAGCACTGTCCAGCAACCTTCCATAAAAAACAGTGATGATCCTTATGTGTTTATATTGCACAAAGAAAACCATCACACTCTGTAGCCTGATCTGCAGCTGCCATGAGGTTCTATGTGCCCATGCCTTCCCTGGAGACTCATGAAATTTTCATATCTCAAATTTGTCCAGAAATATCTTAATTTCTACTGCATTTTTTAGGATTATGGACTGCCTCAACACTACAGAAGAATTCACTCCAAAGATCCGTTGCAATGCACTTTTTAATACAGAATGCTATGTTCGCACTGTTCCTTACACAGCTGAAACTGAGCTGACTATAACCACACTCAGGTAACACAGGCCTCTTCAATCAACGTCCCTTCATTTCTACCAGTCAGCAGGGCTGTGGGCCCAGCAGGGTGTTAAGTACACCTAGACAGGAGTTGTGTCATCAGCTGTGTTTCTGACTCACTGATACAGTTCTGCTCTTCACTGAGCACAGGCAAAACAGCAGACTGCTCGTTTCTGGTGAGTATTGCTATGCTCCAGAGCAGTAAAATACATGCATGTTGAAGTCACATTTATTGCTGAACTGGGAGCACAACAGGGCACAGCTATTCTGTATCTTTGTTACATACTTGTCCTAATACAAGAAGTAAACTTTTACATTTTCTACAGTGTTACATAATAACACAATCTTACATTCTGTTTTTTTTTTTTTCTCGCTAATATTTCTAAATCCTAAATAATAACGATAAAAAATGTACTGACATTCCTAAACTCTAATACTAGAATTATCATTGCTATTGCTCTTATTTTATAGTGATAAGATATAGGATTCTGATTCTTTCTCCACTTGAATCCAAGTTAAGCATTATTTTGTACATGTTCTCTACAAAAAAATAGCACTAATAAAATTATTAGTGACTGCTGTACTTGTTCTGAAGCAAAAGGTGAGTTGCATCCCTGCTCTATGTGGAATTCTATTAATCTTTAGAGGAAAAAAAAGATGAAGAAACAGACATAGGAAGAGAACAAAATGGGTTTTAGGTTCAATAGGCATTATCTGAAATACTTAATAACTCCAGTATCACAACTCTTTGGTTATAATTCTGTCCAAAAGAATAGATGCGATATGATCATTTTCTCACTCTCTTTTTTGACAATTGATCAAGAAAAGTGAATGATTTCTCCCTCCAGTTCTGTCCCTCTGCTTCTGTCTCAGGAGATCATTTCCTTTGCTCATTTTCACAGCTGAGATTACAATTCTGTTTCTAATCAGTTACAGGACACATTTGTCTGTCTTGAAGTGGACTTATGTGCAAGATAAATAATAACACTATTTACTTTCTGTGCTCTGCTAGTAAAGAAATCAAGTCTACATAAACATCATGTAATAAGCAAGTTATTTCTTATAAATATCTCAAAGGTAAGGTCATTACTGTTTTATTGTAATTGCAGGATTTTTCCTGTATGTTTCCTTACATTCCCTGTGATGCAAAAATCTGCATTAGACAAATTCCTGAAGTACAAATCTGGATGGGCCTGAAGGCAGAAAATATTACCTAGCATGCCTCAGATGAGGTGTAAAGCATGGTATTAAAAGCAACACATTGCATGTACTTTCATACAGCAAATCTTAAACTTCATCAGAGGTTTAAAAAAAAAAAAAAAAAAAAAAAAAAAAGATTCTAAGGTCAACGCAGTTGTTTTTTCACTAGACACCACTAAGGAAGAAACACTTCAGGATACAGAAGGAATCTGTATGCCTTTGATCTTCCCTTGAATGGCGGCAATCAGAATGGATTGGATGTTGTGTTGAGGGACATGGTTTAGTGGGAGCTATTGGTAATAGGTGAACAGTTGGACTGGATGATCTTTTAGGTCTTTTCCAACCTTGGTGATTCTATGATTCTAATCTGCTAGAACAGGCATTTCACTCTGAAGGCACAGTTCCCTCCCTCCTTGCTGCAGAAGTCAAAGGGCGCTGGGTACTCCTTGCTGAGCCAAAATTTGCTTGTGTTTCAGAGGTTTACAACACAGCTCCTCAAAATACATTTACGTCTTCCAAACGAACAATCCCTCGCTTTTTTTCTTAGATAATTAAATACTGAGAGATGTGATAAATGTATAACATCAGCAACTTATCTGTTAAAAACCAATGAAAAAAAGTCAAGGTTTGGTGCCTGTATAGATAGTACTGGGGGAAGCAAGCCCATAATACTCAGATCCTCAACACTGCTTTCTCATTAGCCCGTTGGTCACATGTTCTCTGGTTTTGTTGGGCATTTTATTTTGTCGGCCCATGACATCAGAGGCAGGTGGTGGTGGCATAGCAGGAATGGGTAAGCTCTATAAAAACAAGAACAGCCTGAGTATGTAAATAAATTATATCCTTCACACATCAGGCATCAGCTTTTTTTCACCCTTTTATTTCTGGAACAATATTTCTGAGTTCAGGACGGATTTCCCCTGTAGGGGCAGAGATGGAGGAGTCACTCCATTAACAAAAATACATTTTTTTAATTAAAGTAGTGGCCAACTTCTGCCTGGGAAGGAACACTTAACGTTATGGGACTGTCAAAACAAACGCTAAGATGGATAAAACGAGACCCCCGCACCCAGCTGTGCCCGGTGCTCGCTTTGCAAGGAGACGGGAGGCAACGGCTGGGCGGGGGGGCGTGACCCTGAGATGACCCCGGCTCAGGTGGAAAGGGCGCGAAGGACGAGGCGGGAAACGAGAGCAGCGGCAAGCAAAAAAGGCGGGAAACGACGGCGGCGTTCTGCGCTCCTATTGGCTGACGGGCAGTCGGTGCACCTATATAAGATGCGCGGGAGACCACTGAGGGACAAACGTTCACCTGAGGCCATGATTGGGGGTGAGGAATGTGGAGAGAAAGGCAGCAAGCGGAGCGCGGGCTGAGGTGAGGGGATTGGGCGGGCGCCGAGCGGGAGGCTGTGAGGAGATGGGGTGGGAAAACGTAGGCTGAAGTGAGGGGATGGGGCGCGTGTCGAACGATGGCTAGCGAGCTGTAAGGGGACAGGGTGGGCGTCGAGTGAGGGCTGGTGGGCGAGCTGTAAGAGGGTGGGGCGGGAATCGAGAAGGCTGAAGCGAGGGCTATGAGGGGATGGTAGGGGAGGAGGGTGTTAAATGAAACGGCGCGGGCTGTGAGGGGTCGGGAACGGCTTGGAGCAGGTTTTGGCGGGACTGAGGGGCGGGCTGCGGGGGAGAGGGGCGTTGAGCGGTGCGGCGCGGGCTGTGAGGGGACGAGGCGGGAATTGAGCGAGACGGCGCAGGGTGTGAGGGGTTGGGCGTAGAGCGGGAACTGGCGGGGCAGAGGTGAGGCTGTGAGGGGACGGGGTGGGGTTGAGGTAATGGCTGGGGAAGGCGGGGGGCTGGCTCTGGAGGGAGTGGGGGGAGGAGGATTCGGCGCGGGCTCTGGCGCGGCTGAGGGGATGGAAGCGGGATGTGAGGGGGACGAGGCGTTCAACGAGCGGCTCTGACGGGGCGGGCATTGTGCGCTGCTCGGCGGAACGCTGAGGGAAGCGGCGGGATGCTGCGTGGGGGGGCGGGCGGTGCTGCGCCACAATTTTAAGAGCGGGGCCGGTGGGGGAGAGAAGGTGGCAAAACCACGTGCTCTGCCTCGGGATGGTGAGTGGCAGTAGGGAAGAAAAAACCTGGTCTTACAGATAATATTTAGGGGGTGCCCTTCTGTCTTAGAAGGAAGTGGAATATGATGGAAAGAAGGAAAGTGCTGCAGCAGTGGTGGAGAAAGTAGAGGAAGAAGCTCAAAAGAAAGGAAGGTAAAGTAGAACAAGGACAGACACGCTTAGCTGTAATGTGAAATACAAATTGATAAATAGATGTCATGGTTTTACAACTTTATTTGAAGTATTCCACACAATAACATCATGTTATCATGCTGGGGATTAAAGACAGCCCAGTTCTATGGATGGAACCCAAGGCCTAAAATGTTGGTAGCTGCAAACCTTACATGGCAGTTATTACTAACTGCCCAGGAAATGATCAAGAGAGAGATGAATTGGGTGGGAACTGCTAGGGGTTGTTATGTTCAGTAGTAGGGATTAGTGTGTGAGTTTGAGAAACAATGTATAAGTTCACTGGGGACATAATGGAATACTTTTATATACTCCCTCAAAAAGCGCGAGGACATGTTCCTGCAGTTTTAAATAAGTTTTTCTAGAAAAAAGCAGCTCACGATGACCTAATAATAGGAACCTTTCAAAAAAGGGAAAATGGGATGAAACAGAGACAAAGCTGATATCTATGAGACCTTGAAAAAGGTTGAACGTGTATGTCAGTGTATTGCATATGTTTGTCATAACTGAGTAAATGTAGAATCACAGAGAGGTTGCACTTCCTTGTCAACTACTGTTGTGCCCATCGTTAGCAGTAAAGAAATGCCACTTCTGAGCACTATGTTGGACAGCTTTCTTCCTAGAACACCGACGGTCACTTCTAATTAGGGTAAGGTCAATAAGAGGAATCAAGCACTAAGAAGATGCAAAAGAAAGGCATTCTGGTGCCTGGAGCCCCCTGTAAACAGGGGAGGTGACTCTTTGGCTGCTGCTCAGCATACCAAGTCTTGGGATGCCAAGTCTCTGTTGGATGGATGGCCGTGTGCGGTGCTCCCTCAGGCCGTTGGGTTCCCAGACTGCAGCTGGTGGAGGAGGTGGTGCTGCTCAGATCTGATGGTGACCTCTCTTGATTTCAGGAGCTGCTGCAGAAGAAAGAAGGAGCGGCGCGTGGAAGTGCGCGACGAGGGAGCAAGAAGAGGAAGCAGGAGACTGCGCGTGGGGAAAGGGAGAGGCGTTCTGGGCAAAAGCATTTCCCCGTCCCTGGGGTGTAGTCGTACTGCGATGGAGCGTGGCAGGCACCGTGGGTGACCTGGCCGGCTGTGTGCTGGGCGACCTCCCTGTAAGCAGGGCTCGGGTCTTTGCTGTAGTAGGCCTTTTGCCTTGTTGCTCCTTTGGCTGCCTGGGGAGCGTGGCCCCCTGTAAGCAGGGTGAGAGCCGCCTCTCCGCACCCGAGCGGGAAACGGAGCTCGCTGGACCCCACGGCCACCCTGTAAGCAGGGCAGTGCCGTTTTCCC